TGCTCTGTCTGTCTCTGTCTCTCAAAAATGAATAAACATTAAAACAAAATATGCTCCTTTTCTTCTCCATCCCACATCTTCCACACACTACAGAGGTTCCTGTGCCCTTCTTCAGTCTCCCTTCCACCACCCCTCCCTTCCCAATCTTCTGAGAAGCGTTTCCTCCTCCTCTTCCTGTCACCCAGTGCTGCGTGTGTGTGTGTGTGTGTGTATGTGTGCGCGCACGCATGGTGACCTCTCAATTCTGTCCATTCTCAGATTTTCCATCACAAAAGCCCCAAAGAACTGCACTGGCTATGAAGGGCCCTCTTCAGAGGGTGAAGGGCAGACAAAATCACATGGGCAAAATCCTTCAGTGGGTGGAGAGAGGAAAGTTTCAACCATGATATCTGGTCAAGTCCAAGAGGTTGGCTGTGTGCTCCTTGAAGACTAGGTAGGGTGTGTTGGTCTAGCATCCCTTGAACTGGGCTTAGCACATAGCAGGGACTTAATATTGGTTCAGTGAATGTGGGAGCAGTGAGAAATGACCAACAATTCTGTGCTGGGGGTAGCAAGAGACATTTTACTGAGATCTTTGATCTAGGCCTGGCAGTAAGAAGTTTACCTTGGGCAGCAAGAAGGACATCACTTCCTCTGAAGGGAGGAACTAAAAGATGGTGGGGAGGCGGGTCGGGGACTTAAAATGAGTGCAGATAGGTAGGGAGAAGGTAGAGGAAATTCTTGATGGCTTTATTTTTCTCTATGAGAAAGGAGAGTGGGGAATATGAGACGGAAGAGGCAAAGGTTTGGTAAAGCCACTTGGAGAGAGAAGGGATCTAGAGACAAATGGAACAATTTTGGGTGGTGATGAGGGCTCAGCTGAAGGTGGAGGCCATGGTGTGTGGGTTTCATCCTTGCAGAACCTCAGGTGGTTGAATGATAACAGGAGACCCGTTATTTATTCAATAGGGAGAAGATGAATGGACGTGGAGGGCTCCCTAACACCGGGGAATGAATATGGTGGGCATTAGCCAATGCGAAGAAAATGAAAGCGAAGCCAGAAAAGCAAGTACTATGTGGAGAGCTGGAATTTCAGATGTCACGTGTACCAGTTGTGTGACCCTGAGGGTGCATGGCTGAGGTTCAAGGGAAAGTCATGGACATGAGGACGTCAAGCGACCGAGGCCAAATTGGCCTGAGGATGTTAAAGTCTCCCAGAATCCAGGGCGGCGCGGTGAGCCACGTGACAGCCCCCCTTGATTGCTCCACAGTGAAGCATAGTCGAGAAGATGGCGGCCCAGCGAGAACCTCATCGAAGTAGGTGTGTACACACAGCAGCGCCCAGTGTGCAGGAGGGCGGTGAGGAGCGAGGGGGACGCGGCCCGTTCCTCCGGTCTGGACAAGGATAGAGGAGGAGCTGTGGGAAGGGGCGAGATATCAGAGTCTGGGTGGTGTGCGCCACCAGCGGACTACTGAAGGGGCTGGATGTCAGAAGCTGCGCGTCGCTCCGGCCGATTACTCGTTCTGTGTCCCCAGTCGGAGCCCAGTTTCCCAACACGTATCAAAGGGCCCGGGGTAGAGTTTTAACGCTCCTCCCAGTTAGGGGACTCGAGGGGGACCGCGACGGGGTAAAAATGGCGGAGGGCCAGCCGGGCCTTGAACGGCGGGGCAAGCCCCGGCAAAGCCCTCTAGTGGCGTCGCGCGTCTCCACGGCGACGGGACGCGTGGCCCAGACAAGGGCGGAGCTTCTTGTGGGGCGGGGCATCTCTGTGACGCCAGGGGCTGGGTCTAAATGGCGAAACCCGAGAGGCTCCTGGGGGGGTTTGAACTGGCCAATGGGCGAGCTGCCGACCGGGTGTCGGAAAAGGAGGCGGAAGCGGGGAGGAGTCGCCGCGGGAGCCGCACAGCATCCGCCGCGGCGTCTCCATGGCACGGCCCTGGCCTCCGACTTCAACGACTTCATAAGGAGGCGTTTCTGGGCGCAGCCGTGTCGCTCCTGGTGAGAGGCCGCCGGCAGGCGGGACCCCGGGCGCTTCGGGGCGCCCCGCCGCCGGGCTGGGTCCCGGAGGGAGGGATGGCCCCCGCCG